TCATGACCAGAGGGGTATTTCATTGTTTCTGATTTCCTTCTGCAAGATCTGGCTGGATTATTTTATGAACTTTAGGCTGGTTCTAACCTTCATAGAGTAATTCCTACAATTTTCACATGATCTGCTGCCCTCTGGTTTTCATGTGTGTATGTCAGATGTTTTCATCACATACAGAAATACAGTTGCAATCATATAATGAGTAACAAAAGCTTTTATCGACAGTTAGAATGAATTAATGCAGCAAGTCAATATTTGCTGTGTTGACCCCTCTTCTTCAGGACCTCTGCAGTTCTCCCTGGCATGCTCTCAATCAACTTCTGGACCAAATCCTGACTGATAGCAGTCCATTCTTGCACAATCAATGCTTGCATTTTGTCAGAATTCCTAGGTTTTTGTTTGTCCACCCGTCTCTTGATGATTGATCACAAGTTTTCAATGGGATTCAGATATGGGGAGTTTCCAGGCCATGGACCCAAAATCTCTGTTTTGTTCCCTGAGCCAGTTAGTTATCACCTTTGCTTTATGGCAAGGTGTCCATCATGCTGGAAAAGGCATTGTTCATCACCAAACTGCTCTTGGACGGTTGGGAGAAGTTGCTCTCGGAGGGCATTCTGGTACCATTCTTTATTCATGGCTGTGTTTTTAGGTAAGACTGTGAGGGAGCCGACTCCCTTGGCTGAGAAGCCCCCCACACATGAATGGTTTCAGGATGCTTTACAGTTTGCATGAGACAAGACTGGTGGTAGCGCTCACCTCGTCTTCTCCAAACAAGATGTTTTCCAGATGTCCCAAACAATCGGAAAGGGGATTCATCAGAGAAAATGACTTTACCCCAGTCCTCAGCAGTCCACTCCCTGTACCTTTTGCAGAATTTCAGTCTGTCCCTGATGTTTTTCCTGGAGAGAAGTGGCTTCTTTGGTGCCCTCCTTGAGACCAGGCCTTGCTCCAAGAGTCTCCGCCTCAGTGCATGCAGATGCACTCACACCTGCCTGCTGCCATTCCTGAGCAAGCTCTGCACTGCTGGTAGCCCGATCCCGCAGCTGAAACACTTTTAAGAGACAGTCCTGGTGCTTGCTGGTCTTTCTTGGGCGCCCTGGAGCCTTTTTGGCAACCATGGAACTTCTCTCCTTGAAGTTCATTTTCTAGGCAAATATTGACTTTGCAATTAATTGCTGTTAAGCTGATCACTATAGCATTCTGGAGTATATGCAAATTGCCATTATAAAAACTGAAGCAGTAGACTTTGTAAAAATTAACATTTGAATCATTCTCAAAACTTTTGACCATGACTGTAGTGTAAAGCACTTTGGGAGTCCGCAGGGACTTGATAAAGTGCTGTATAAGCTCAGTCCATTTACTGCATTTACAAATGCCAATATTAAATAATTTCAATGCTTCTTTTTTAACTTATAGCATCAAACAGCAATTAAGATTAGTAAATAAGCTTTGATTTTTATGAAAAAGACATATTTTGTTAATCTAACTATTTTTATTTAAGCAACAATAAAGTGACTAAATATAAATAGTGATATGACACATATCAATCTAGATTATTTATCTATTGTAACAATGTTTTTTGGCAATAAATCTTACAGTATCAGACACCTGATTGGCAGCACCTGGGGGTAGCAGAAGCTCAAAACAAGTGTCACTAGCAATAGCAAAATAAGCTGTTTGCTAATATCAGAGAGGTTTAGTTAATTTTTTATCTTTGCAACCCAAATACTCAGCTCTACTGCTCGTCTCACAAATGCATGTTTCTAACAAATGGGGCATTATTTATAAGGGAAGTTTACAGGCCTTTGGATGGTATAAGACAGGGATAGTCAATCCTGGTCCTCGAGGTCCACAGCCCTGCACATTTGACTTGTTTCCCTTCTCTAATGCACCTGATTCAGTCAGTGAATTACCTCTTCCAAGTTCTGCAGAAGCCTGAAAATCATTCATTCATTCAAATCAGGTGTGTTGGAGCAGAGAAACTAGTAAAACATGCAGGGCTGCGGACCTCGAGGACCAGAATTGACTATCCCTGGTATAAGATATGATGTCAAGAAACATCCTTACAAAAATAATCTACCAAACACAAATTTCCTTATTTTTGTGCTTAGTTTTTTTAAATGCTTATTGTTGGAATAATTTTAGAAAAAAACATTTTTTTAAATCTAACAGTAGGGGAGCACCACTAAACCGGTCAGCCTATTTATCTTCACAGATTTCCTTAATTATGGGAGATCGGCCGATACTTAGAAAAGATCGGTGGGAAAGATCGGCTTCTCATCTACCGCCACAAAGACCTGATAATCAGCCACTGTCTCCTTTTGCTGTGCTGTGAGCACTACCTAATGCCCAGCTAAAACAAGCTTGTATTGTTTCAAGGGTATAGTTCAGTGGTTTTCAATAAAATAAGGTTGGGACATTGAAAGCATAGGCGATTTCTCTAAGACTGCAAGGGAAGCTCAGCTTCCCTTAAAATGTAAAAAAAAGATAACTGTTGTGTGTACATATCATTGACTAAATATGTGCTACAACGTGCTCAACTTTTGTTCAGAATCAGCTTCTTATCACAGGTAACGACGCGGCTTTCCTCATTTCCTCATTTCACTCATTCCCGCAGCTTCACAGTGCTTTCAACAGTCGGACGCCGAGCATCTACAGAGCTTATTAGCGATGCAAAGAATGCAGTGAAACGAGACGAGTCATTGGATAAATGCTGGCTTTGTCCCACCTGTCGGACACTGAGCATCTCTGGGGGTCTATGGGGCTGTGGGCTGGCCCGGATGCTCATTGTCAGCATGATGATTGGATGATCTGTCAGAGGCTGAATCCCTTTTTGACTGACAGTGAAATGAGTGAATCAGCAATCTTTTTGGTTTAAACATGTATGGGAGCAGTTTTTAGTTTCGTTTCTGTTCTGAGTAGAAGCGGAGATTTTATTAATCCTTTTAGCAGCATTTTCTTTGTTAAAAATGACTAGTGACAAATCAAACTTCTATTTCTGGTGGTTGTTTTGTAGCTGCTTGTGTTTGGAGACAGACTTCTATCGCCCTTTCTGACTTCTTCTGTCCAGCGGGTGCTGCTGAGCCTCTCCACCTTCACAAAGCACTCACAGGCAGACACACTTCACACTAGCCTCGTGCCAGTAGCAAGCTGCACATATGGCAGACAGTTTGAATGTTGTGGACTGGATTTTGGTGAAGCCATTATGGTCTTGTTTACAGAAAAAAAAACTTACAGGGCTGATCAACTCCTCAGATTAATTTGGTGCAAAAGGTGGGGAAAAGTAAGATAAAAAATAACTTTTTATTGATCCCACAGTGGGGAAATAACAGGTATTTTCAGCTGTCCTGGTATRACAAAGTGAGCTGGCTGCTGTAAAACACTATAGAATAATCTGGAAAATGATTATAAAAGCAGTGGATCAATTAATTCCTTTAAAAAATAATCAAAGCAAATTTGTTAAAGAAATATGAAATTGTTTAATTTGTATTTGTATGAGTCACTGTTTGAGGAGTTGAATTTTTTTAGGTTTGTTTTATTATTTGGTTTATTGTTTGAAATTAATATTTTTTTGTAAATAGGAGCAAATATCAAGATCCTTTTCTTCTGCTGCTGCCTTTCATTTTATTTTATTTGTATTTTTTTGTTGTATGTAATGTTTTGTTTTTAAAAATGAAATGAATAAATACTATAAACTAAACAAAAGGATCTGTGAGAGGGTCACAGATCATTTTCTTGAAAAGAAACGGAGGTTAGAATTTATAACCCACACATTTTATGCTGTAGGCCGAAACTGTGCTTCCTCTTGTTGAAAGACCAGCATCCGCCACTGACTGAAAGTGTATTGTGACCTTAAAACACCTGACAGTGTCAGTTAAAAAATCGGTAGCGGACAAAAATCTGATTCAGCAGATCAGACTTTATAAAGATCAGTAATCGCCCAGTAAACTGCAGTCGGTACACCCCTACCTAACAGATATTTAACATTCTGACCTGTGTGAGTATTGAGGTGAGACTTGAGGACTCCAGCTGAAACAAAACCCCTTCCGCAGAGATCACAGCTGTATGGTTTCTCTCCTGTGTGGGATCGGATGTGCTGCTTCAGATGGCTAGACTTTTTGAAACCTTTAGGGCACCAGCTGCACCTGAAGAAGAGGGAAAATAAATTTAACAGTCTAAAGCTTTATCCATGCACAAATGGCTTTCTTTTTAGGTTCACACAGAAATTGCATTTTAGGGTTCCATAAACAATATTTTTGGAAATCAGGTTCAAGAGGGAAAAAATTTGAAATGCCACACCTACAATTTGTATGGATGGTCTAAACCTTTTGAAAACAAATACTTTATTTTACTTTGTTTTTCGCTTATTTTGTCTTTTAGGTAGGAAATACATACAGTGGCCTCCAAAAGGTTTGGAAATCAAATTCCTTTGGTTTTGTTGAACACTGAAGTCATTTGGGTTTTTAAGATCCAAAGATGAGCATGAGCACGACTCATCAACAAAACAAAGAACTTCATCAGGGAAAAAAAAGTGGAAAGTTCTAGATTGGCCAAGTCAATCACCTGACATTAACCCAACAGAGCATTTCACCTCCTGAAGAGGAGACTGAGGGGAGAAACCCCCTGAAACAAACAAGAACTGAAAGAATTTGCAGTAAAAGCCTGGAACAGCATCACAAATGAAGAATGCAACAGTTTGGTGTCAATGGGTCACAGGCTTGAGGCAGTCATTGCAAGGAAGGGTTGCCACCACATATTAAATGTTACTTACTTTAAGATTATTTGTTCCAATACTTTTTCTCACCTAAAAAAATGCTGTGGTGTAATACAAACCGTGATATATCCAAAGTTGTTTAACACATCTACATGTAAATACTGGAAAATAAAAGCTGACATTTCAAATTGTCTCATGCTCATCTTTGGAGCAGCAGTTGGTAACTTTTGTAAAAAAAAATAATAATTTGTTACATAATAATGAAAGAAAGACTGGGACTTTAGTCTTTTTTAAATTCCTAGAGAATCAAGGCTTGGAGCCTGGTGTCAGACTGAACACCTTCTCTTCAGCCCAAAGGCTAATAAAACTTGAGAGCTGCAGAGCAATCAGCCCTAAATGAACCAACTGAAGCCACTTTTCAGTTACTGTCATGACCATTAAAGATGGCCTCTATAGTTTGAAATTGCTGTTTCAAAGGTTATAAATGAAACATTGAAGAGGTGGTGTTACTTACTTCATCTAAACACAATAAAAAAATCTATGATGCAAACCTGTAAGTTCTCTTTGTGTTGTCTTCACTGTCTTCCTGGTAGTTTGGAGTTTCTGTTGACAGCTGGAGATCATTTTGACTGCTCTGCTGAAGTAGCCCATTTGTCTACATTACCAAAAATAAAGCAACATTTCATTTATTACAAACAAAATTACATTTGTTGTAGAGGAACCATACTACTGCACTTAGATTGTATACTGCAAGATTTTGTTTATCCACATTTGTATGAAGAGCTTGTGAGTAGTCAGTAGCTCCTCTGCAGTAGAAATCATTCAGAGAAAATTCAGTGTCAGGAATCAAGAAGATATTTCCATGAAGGTCAAACTAAGAAGTTACAACGGATACATTTTTGGAGTCAACCCCAATAAAGATGGCCACCACAACCAAATGACAAAAGAAAACACAAACCTGTTATACCTCAGATAATTTTACAGATATTGAGCTAAAATAGTATCATTAAAAATACACACTTCAAAAGATTGCACAAGATTTTTACTGTAACAAAATTAAAAGATCTTGTAATTTTGCACACGCTAGTGCAGATTTTGAAAGTTTGAGAAAAATGGTTACAACTTTGTTTTCTTTCATTATAAGATGACCTTAGGTAAAATACTGGCATGAAAAGCAATGACTGATCTACATTTCTTCAAGGATTGCTCAGCCTTTAAATTGTGGGGTTTGATTTTAGCTGTGCTGGCAGCAGCAGAGTGAGAGATAATCCATAACCGACACAGGAACATAAAAGTTATGTCAACGTTTTTGAACTATTCTTTTCAAAAATCACTAGTTCTGAAATCTTTATCATCTAATCTTCTCAGGGACAGCCAGTGGCATTTAAACATAATGTAAAGGAAAAATGCACACTGTATTATCACTTAAGTTATAGGTTAAAACAACCTATTTGTATTTAATCCATATGGAAATTTTGCATTATCGCTTACTTCAATTATGATTTATTTATTTATTCAGTCTTATTCTCAGTGAAACAATAAGCAACAGAATTGTTACTATGTACATTTTTCATGTCTTAAAATCCAAGTATTGAGGAGTATTGGGTAGAGAACTGACCACTTCTGTGCTGGGAACGTGCAGTAAGTTTGGGGGATGATAGCTGGAGGAAAGAGCCTGGGACTCCAGAGTGCTGGAATCCTGCAGCTGCTGAACCGTGGAAAAATGAGTCTGATTGTAGCTTGGTTCAGTCATGGTGAAGCCTGGAGGGAACAAATGGACAATAGAAAGCTGACAACATCACTCACTGATAACATCCGACTGAAAGCTGAACATAAATAAAAGAAAAATACATAGAGTTCAAAACAAAGACTGTGTTTGAAATGGTGTTTATACAGCAGAAATGTGCTGTACTACTGCTGGGTTAAAAAGTTTTTTTTTCAAAATTGTATTGTAAAAATATTTTATTGTATAACATTGTATATTGACCGATTTTTACTTAAATTGTAATCTGGATTAAAACCCTCCACATTTCTTGGGGCTGGGGACCGGCACTGAGAGTCCACTTGTCTAGACCCTGCTCTGTGGCTGGATTAAAAAGTTGTTGTTGTTTTTTGTATAAAAATGTTTTGCCAATAAAATCTCAAAATATTGGGTGGACATGGGTATGTTTGTAAAGGATAATGAGGTTTTCTATTGAGCCATTTACATATATGTAATTTATCATTTTCAACAGGTATATTTCCAGAAAACATGAAAATAGCTAATGTAATTCCTCTTTAAAAAATGGTGAGAACCGTTCAATAATTGCAGACCAATATCCTTGTTGCCACAGTTTTCAAAAGTTTTAGAGAGAAAATATAACCAGGTAAGATCAATTTATGAATAAATAAAATATTTTGGGTAATAGTCAATATGGGTTTAAAACAAATAACTCAATGTCAATGGCTCTCATGAAGATAATGGAAGCAATGCCAACTGCTGTCAATCAAAAACTTTACTGTGTTAGCTTTTGGTTGATCTAAAGAATGCCTTGGACAAGACTGATCAAAACATTTGTATTGAAAAGTTGAATAAATAAGGCATTAGAGGATTAGCACTATAGTGGGTGTCTAGTTATTTGAATAATAGGAAACAGTTTGTTTAGTTAAATAAAGTAAGATCCGAATTATGTAATTTCAGATGTGAAGTTCCTCAGGGTTCTATGCTTGGACAAAAACTTTTTTATTTTGTATGTGAATGATTTGGTAAGTATGTCAAAGTTTTTGAAATGTATTTTATGATGACACAACACTTTTTTTTCCTGGTGAAAATATTGAACAAATGTTGGAGGTGAGAGAGACAGAATTTAGGAAGGTTCAGACTTGGTTTCAACTTTCTAAGCTATCACTGAATTTGGACAAAGCAAATTATACATTTGGTAACAGAAAGAAAACTACTCATTCCATTCATTATTGGTGAAATTTAAATTGTAGGTTCAGTGAAATAAAACTTTTGGGTGTCACTGATGATAAGCTGACATGGAAATCTCATATAAATTACTTAAGAATAAAAACATATATACATCAATATGACACAATTTGTAGTATATACTGGAAATAAGATGTAAGATGATACCTGATGTTTTTTTTTTATTATTATTATTTTGTTTACTTGTTTTGGGTTTATTTTGTTCACCGGGCATGATTTACTTTGTTTTTTTATTACTGTACATTAGTACTGGGCGGTAAGACGAATATATTACAGTACATTCAACAATTATACTGGTATCATGTTATATGACTTTACTTTTCTTTTTGACTCAGCTTCTGTGCACCAGTCAACTCAAACCCTGTACAAAACCACTTCTCCTGAAATAATAGAAGCACGTTAACATCTCCATACATTTACATCGCACATAAAATATATCTTTGTACATCGCTGAAGAGGTGTATGCTATATACAGTGAAGGTGAAAAAGGAGAGTTTTTTCAATGTCAGTCAATATAAGCAGCATAATTGCCACCCATCGCCAGTTACTGAGAAGCTACTCCAACAGTAACATTAGCTTGCTAATACGCATTGAGCGGTGCTACAGGGAAATGTGTCCCCCGTGAAACACTCTGAACATGTTCAGGCTATTTAAATCAGTATTCAGGAAATAAAAACCGTTTTTTCAGTATGAAGTGATATCCCATCCAGCACTATGCTGTACTACTCCAAATAGTTAAAAAAAACATCTAATTTAATTTGGGTATGCTTTTTCAGGGTGTTTAAGGTGTTTAGGGGAGGGGGGCTGTCAAACACATCTCACTGTATTTCTATAGTGAAAATATTTGGAAATAAATGTTAAATATTTTGAAAAGTTCAAAAGTTACAAAAATGAAAGATCACAGCACACTTCTGATGAACTAACCATTTTCATATATGAATGGCTAAAATGGCACTAAGTATGCAGTGGCATTTAAATTGCATAAAATGTACAAAATATTTCCATCAGGAAAACACCAGTGTGAATGTTAAATTAGCACTCACACGAGCATTTTACTGCTTTAAACAATTCAAATTATACTTTGAAATGATGTGACTGAATATCAACCCTTTGAGTGTGCAGCTGTGAACTTAGTGATTAATGATTTTACTAAATGAGATTCTGTGATAAGTGAATAAATAATGGTGGATTACTACAAGAAACCCCCAGGGTTCATTGTGATCAGTAACACTTCAATCATGGTACATAATCATGCTTCAGTCCTGACAGCCCATCACTGGGGGTTAAAGCAAAAGTTTAAGTTCAAGAGCCTTCTTATCTGGATAGAGGAAATGTGTTGCACTTCGAACTTTGATGACAATCAAGGCTGTATGGACTTTTCTTCTAAAACAATTAAACTGCACATCTGTTACAGTCTAATACAAAGGTTGTGGCACCTCCTGAGATAGAGGATAAAATAGATCTCCCTGATGTTTGATGTTCATTTTATTGGCTGTCAAAACATTTCTTTTCTGATTACACACCAACACTAAGAGCCAGTCAGCATGGTGGAAGCAAAAAAATACCATATGCCTAAGAGCACTACACTGACTGAAGAGTTATGTAGGTGGGAGGAAATAATGAAGCTAAAAGAGAATAATGTCACAGATGTTACAGGTAAATTGCCCAAATTAATTCTAAGCTTTCTTCTAAACATACCTGCTCCACTCTCCTTTGACAAAGTGATACTAAAAATATCCCATCTTTGATATTTGTTTTTAAATTGGGATGGCAGCTACAAAATATTTTAATATACATGGTTCTATCAGAAAGGCTATCAATTAAGCTAATAATTAGATATGTATGTGCTGTGCATGAGGTTTCCACACATTTTTTCCCCTGGAAACCCCTAACCTGGATCTATAGTAGAAGCTGTACAGTTTTGCCATCAAAACTCATGGCTGTACAGTAAACTGTATATGTCGCATGTGGGATGAAAAAAACTCAGTATCAGAATCAGCTTTATTGCCATTGTCAGTGATAAACACAGACTAGGAACTTGCAGTTGAGAACATCCATTCGGAGAAAGACACACATAACAAACATGGGGGAACGAATATCCAATGTCTTTCGCATTAGGGTGCGCTACCTTTTGCAGCTTGGAATACAAACAATAGGAAAGGTGAGTTTAAAAAAGAGCTCTGATTCTGTGTTTTACACAGAAACATAATCTAAAAAAAAACCACTCGCATAGCAGCTAAGGCAGTTAAGGAGGGGGTGGTGGTGGCGGTGGGGGTCAAACACATGGTATGGGGTGGGGTTCAACTGTCTGTGCTATAAATATTTTTTTACGTAGCACTGGTGCGACAGATTTGCAAACTACTTTTATTTAACCACAGCATGGTTACCTTATCTATGTAATCACTCTTATATATTGTAGCAAGAATCACCAAGACAGGCCCCACGTGCGACCGGGTTGTCCGTTCATGCTCTAAAAAACTGCGCTCATCAGCAGCGCAGCTACCAGCAATTGTGCTGGCCCTCAACATTTAAAAAAGTAACCAGAGTCATTTGTGAATTCAAAATACCCTAAATCCAGGTAAAAGGAGCTGCTGTTAGTCCACAAGTCATGCTGGACTCAACACATAGCTGATTACCCCTCTGCTCAGCTTGCTCCTCTCCTCTGTGTCTCACCCACAAACACATCTTGCAGCCGCAACACAGATCCACACCCTTTCAGGAGTCTTTACTCTTTAGAGCCCAGATTAGAAACAGGCATTAAAATGTGGGAAGTAAATTATTTTCAGTGAACCTGAAACATCTGTGGCACCAGTGCTATGAGCTACAATAGTTAACAAACAGCCCTAAAACTACACAAACTTTCATACAAACACACCGAATGTTTAATTCATTCACTGTCTGTCTGACTGACAAATTGAAAATTTATTCAGATCTGATCAAAAATCTGCACTGGTATACAGCTGCTCTACTGAGGCAATCCCATAAAGCAGTACGATTCTGTGAACATTCACATCCCAAAATTGTACACATCTTCAGAATTATTCATTTACTTTCTAAAACCTGAAAACTTTGTGGAAGGATAAAGATTAAACCAAAAGAGGAATCATGAAGGAAATTCAGACTTGTGTTTGTACCTTGTGTTAGCGCTTGTTGGTCAAATGCAGACTGAGGAAGTGCTGGTGTTTCAAACTGGCTGATATTCTGAGGCAAAGAGTGTTGTGTTGTCACATATGAGTCTGTCACTTCAGAGAAAAAGATATAAAAAAGGTGAAGTAAATTAGAGCAATTTAAGGTTTTCAAAAGTTGGAGAACAGTAGTTAGGCTGGATATTACCTGAAGAACCTCACAGATTAAAATAAACATTATGGGGGTACAAACATGGCACCCTTGACTTAACATCACTAACAACTCAAATGTAGCTGCTCTTACCTTCATCTGGAACTAGTGGCTGGTTGGTCAGAGGAGCCTCCAGTGTCACTTGCTGGTCTCCATTCACAACTTCTGCCTGGCCCAGTTCCAGAATGTCTTGCTGCTCTGATGTGGCAGCAGAGGCCTGTGGGAGGGACTCTGCCTCCATTTCCACTGGCATATCATGGGCCACAGCACCTGCTCCTAAGGGATCCTCACCAGACTGTGGTTGCAGCTGCTGTGCCAATTCATACCTGGTTGGACATGAAGCAGCAGGATTACCACTCAGCCCAGCAGAAAACAGGATTCAGCACTAAACATGACCACAGCTGGGTGGTCCATGCACAAACATTTAGTAAAAACTCCAACCTGTGCGTCTTCATGTGCTTCCTACAGTTAGGTGATGACTTGAAAGTCTTCTGACAGTAGGGGCACATGTAAGGGCGAAGGTCACTGTGAGTAGTCATGTGGCGCCGCAGGCTTCCACTGGTTGTGAATGTTGTGTTACATATGACACACTTGTATGCCTTCAGGCCTGAGTGGGTCCGGATGTGAGCTTTGAGGACTCCTGATGAGGCAAAACCACGACTGCACTGAATACATTTGTACGGCCTTTCTCCTGTATGTGACCTGGAGCATAAAACAAAATGAACATTAAACAAAACAACACTAGAGCCTCACTATGGATGTCAAATATAAAAACACGTCATTATTAGGCCAGAGTAGTAAAATCTCTGTGAAGGTCTATTGTTAGTCTAATGTTTATTATTTTTCTTCTGAATCATCACACAAAGGAAGTGCAATTTTGGAGGCATAAACCTACACAAAAATTCAGCAAAGTATATAGAAAATTTTCCCCTAACTGAAATGTTTGTATTTTAAAGGAATTGCAGGAGGGTATGGTTGTGGTGACTTCAGAAGTCACACCGTTGCCCTATGTTACAGAGACAGCCAGCTAACGTATAAAAAAAGCCCTTCATAAAGCTACAACTGTATATTATTCATCTTTTTTTTTTTTTTTTTTT